CGTTGTTCTTTCCATACGCTCTTTCAGTTATATAACAGTTATATGTTGGTTTGCTGGGTTAAGACAGCCTTAAGACAATGTTTTATGTTTTGAGCCTTTGTCTTGAGGTAACGCACAATAACGGTCTTACGTCTTAAGAGTACAAGACAGCCATTCTGCTCAGTCCCTAACTAACTGCACTAGTTCAACAGTACAGCGATAACGAACAGACTATATGACGACACGTTTTGTCGAACTAGAACTCTGTCCAGACTCTAACTACAGGGACTCTACTCTGTAGAAGGTTGAAGAGAGGAGGAAGGAGAAAAGATGGAAGAAGGAAGGCAAAGATGGTACACGGGTAAAAGTAAAGGAACGAAATTATCTGGGAAAATAGCATCTTGGTACGGGAACTTGATACTGTGTCCGATAAGATGGGCGGAGAAGAATAGGAATAAATACCAAAAGGCAAATGGAGGAAGGAATATAGAGAAGGATGGAGCATTAGAATTAGAATGGAACTAGGATAAGTTAAATAGGATAGGAGAAGAGTAGGTTTATATTGATGTGTACAGAGTAGGCAGTATTAGATTGCGGGGTAGGAATGGAGGGATGAATGAGAGTGTTAAGGATATAATTGTAAACTAAGTCCCACTCCTTGGCATGTAAGCTGAAGTGTAATGAAAATTGTATATATTACGGCGTCGAATTTGCAAATGTCGCTGAATCAGCGAGCTTCAGGATTATATAATTAATTACCACGGATTTCTTTTGCAGGTTTTTCATTATGTACCTGGTGAAAGAGTCTGTGCATACGTATCTCAGGAAGCGATTAGCAGACCGACAACTCAACACGAACGAATTGGTGGAGAATGGTCAAACACCGTCGTGCACCAGCAACAGTCACGCACACGCGTAAGCTTGTTTGCGCCCGACTTTATCAATCGCTTTATATGTTTGTCGAGCCGATGACACTTCGACGGCGTGAAGAAACCGCGCGAAACTTCATCTTCTCTTAATTTATAGGGGCCACAGCCATTTACTGGCGATAATGGATGATGACTTCGTGATCACGTCGCTCTTCGAAGGCCTGGCCATCGGCTTGTGTTCAGCCGATCACGTCTGGTAATTGCATCGCGAATGTGTCTTCAATTCCTAATTCGAGCCGCGCTCGTGCTCTAAATTAATCGTTTAAAGCGAGGAATGACAAACTCCCCACACTATAAATGTAGCATTCTTTTCGCAATTGCTCTGTATCTGTGAGTGTGACGAAAAACTTTTTCAATTGTATCGCATCATACCAATTTTATTGGCATAACTTGAATTCGAGCACCAAACTTGATATAAATTTTCTAAATAAATGCAGAGATTAAGATACTTTATTATAGATTAGCTGAATAATGAATTGCACTTTAGTATCCCACCGGAAACGAAGAATCGAGCGGCAATATGACAAACGACATGATTTCGTTCGTAGGTACGTGTTCCTCGCAGTGGCGCCTCGTAAATTTGTGATAGCATTCTTTATAGGCGTAGAACTGATCGCGTCCAGAACCGGACCGTGCCTGTCCGTGATTTATACTTACACGTTCGCCGTGATGTCGCCGATAGGAATCGGCATCGGGATGGAACTCGTCGGCGGCGGCAGCGTAGCCACGAGCGGACCCATGGCAGTGATATTGCAGGCAAGCCTCTCAATCTTTTCAGGGGAAATTCAATGAAAGAAAAAATTGCAATAAAACGATCGTAATACGCGTATCGAAAAAATAACTTGACATTCAAAGAATGCTTGGGATTCCGCATAATCTATGAATTGGCCAGCAATTGCGCGGCATGTAAACGGGAAAACTCTCCTTATCGTCTTCTTCTCGTTGCAGTTACTGGCGTCGGAAATTTTGTTGTGCGTCCTATTATTCGAGATCGAGCAGGAGCATGATCGCACTGTGTTGTGGCAGTTATACCTCTCGATCCTCGTCGGTTTCCTCGTGATATTCGGATTGCAGATGTTGAGTAAGTATATACGATTTTATTTCGCGCTAACACACACGCTCACAGTAGTGTTTCTGAATCCCTCGGTGATAGCAGACGCATAAAAATTGGGATCCTTTAGATACTTAGTTAGTTATAAGTAAATGCCCGATCTCTGCGCTTTGTAAACGCATTCCCCGTATCTAACAAATATAGAACTGGGAAGTTTAATAGATAAGAATATTGCGTTGATACGCACACGTGCTCAAGTTGTGACTTATAACTTCGTCGCGAAATATAACATTGCAAGGTGACTTGTATAATTCATTGTGTTACTAACGCTATTAGCTCAGATATAATAAGGCTACTCGAGGTGATTATTGAAATGATCGATTATTAAGCAGCTTCCTTATATTCGGCTCAAACAAAACGCTCGCTGTATCGTCGTACGAACCGCGTCATTATCGTTGATTAAATACTTTCCGCTGATAGTTGAGTTCAGTGAAATATTACTGTGCTTGGCGAGGGACCGACCTCTCTCTTTCACACGATGATAGCTAATAAAACCTAATTTCTTACACTTATCGAATCATCCCGTAAAAATATATTTAAAAAAAATTGCAATAAATTCACAAACACGTGTCTTTTCGACTTCAGCTGGCCACATGTATTAAATACGCTTTCACAACGTTTTGACCTTTGTTACGGAGTCATGTCAAATACAAGTAAAAACGCATTTTAGCGGAATGGAGTTCTGTATTAAGAGTACAATTTCACTGCGGTCTTGGTCTTACATCCCTCGGCTCCGGACGTTAGTGTGTTTGACATAACTCCGTAATAAGATCCCACTTGATAAGAACCTAAACCAAAGGTCCAGTATCTCTGCTACTTTTAGAGATATGCAAAAATTATAATTACGAAAGTTGTACTACATCAAGGAAGCCATAACACGTTAGTAATATTTTTTCAAAAAGTGGAGGCGCTTCGAAGATTTCAAGGTGACCTTCAATTTTTTTAAATGGAACCCCCTATTGTTTATTATAGTATCTTATTCTACTAATTAATATGAACAACTTTTGTTGCAAACAGTTTAATTTAATTCCTTATTTTCACACGTGGGGGAGTAACTTTGCAACGTAAATTAACGTTAGTTCCTTTCACAGATCTCGCGTTCGGTTCAGTTCGCGCTTTAAAAATCGCACGAAATCTCAAACATCCACGCTTTCTGTCTACAGCTGCCCATCATTCCCACTTAGACGGTGGCCACGGACACGGACATTCGCACAACCACACGCAGATGGAGCAACTCGATCACGATCATGATCACGATCATGAGCACGAGCACAAGTACGATATCGTCACGGAGGCGATCGACAAAGTAACCGACAGTATCGCCGAGGCTGTCTTCAACGCCTTCACGTCGACTACGCCGTCGACGATAGTACAACCGACCAACGTGAGCGAGATCAGCCCGTTACATCCTCAGCGAAGTTAGGGGACCAATCTTTGGGTTCCCGCAAGTACAAAGCTCCACGGCTGAATTCTCTTCAGATTCAGCGCAACCACGATCTCTCGGAAGCTCGAAGATCTCGAGACGCCTTTACTCAGGGGGACTCTTCTCATGCGGTTTTTTTTTAAGCATTTAGCGAAGTAAGAAACTGAAATATTGATCAGTGTCAAGCTGACTTTTTAGTGTCTAGATTTACGTCGTGAATCGGATCGATGAACTCGACCATGTTGCTGGTGGACATGGTGCGTGCGATAGGAAACTCGTATCGCACCGCCACGCAACGTTACATTCGGTCGGGAGAGCCGGTCCATCGATTTCCTAATTACTCAACGAATCCAAACAAGCCATGTGCATTTATAGCAAGAAATTTTAATAAATTATCACAGCTATTTTTTATTACGGCCGTCATATGTTTTCTTATACCTAGTGCAACAGTACAAAACGAAATGGGGATTCGGCACATTTTCCAGACCCCGTGTTTTCCTAAAGAATCACCTTCCTTCATATTTTTATATAGAAAATTTATAGAATTTTCATTCTTTTCACATCAAAAAGGGATCCTCGAAATTGTCGTTTTCAAAACTAGCCAGAGTTTATCTTCTGGAATATATAAGATTACTGTAAAAATAATTCGCGCACGCTTGAAAAACGCACGCGACCGTGAACTTTTCGAACGCTCGTCCCCGACCCTGCGTAAAAGCGTAAAAGAAGCGTTGAAGTTTCTTTTACGCTTCGCTGTTCCAAATTACGCTTCCCACACTTTTCGTTTACGCTTCTGTCACTCTCTCCTTACATTCGATGTACCCTCCAATTTTTATTTTCACCAGGGGAGGGGAAACCGCCTTCGTGAACGTCACCTGGATGTTATGTTGAGCTGTTATTGTTGAAAAGAATGCAGTATCATTATTTACGTTGCGACGAAACAATGGGTGCAGCGTCAACTTCGTTGATGATGATTCGCGATTTTATAACATTTGTGCGTCGCAAAACCACAGGTGAAAGCACTAAAAAGATTAATTAAAAGCAAAATAATAAAAAAGTATTTTTCCAATTTTTCCATTTTTTTCGGAAAAATATGAAAAATTTCACGAAAATTTTTCCCAAAAAATATTTTTCCGAAAATTTAGAACCCTACGTACGCCTCTCAACGATTCATGTATTTCATGTTTCGCCCAAATTGGCTTCAATACCAGAGAGCACCAGAGAGGAACCTTCCGGCAATGGTTTACTACCTACATGGAAAATCTTCCACCATTTCATCAATTCTCTTTTCAGGTACCTTCTCTTCACTCGTTACAATTATCATGTCCTGTCTATCCCGATCACTGTAACTCACATGTGCAGCGTTTGGGTTCCTCGTTTGACAATCCTCAAATAGTCGGTGATAATCTTCCTCGGTAATCTTTACTTTAGATCTGCGTTACATACGGTATAATAAAAAGATGGGAAACATAATAGAGTATTTTGCATTTAATGTTACGAATATATTATTCAAATATTAAGCAAAATATATTATTATAGAATAACTTATGTCGTATATATTCATATATATATGAGGGATATGCAGAAAGTAAGTTCCTGATGTATATACACCGCGTAGTAACATCTTCTTTGACCTCGTTGTTGTCATCATGGCATCATTAGCAAAGGAGCATTTCAGATGCTAGGATAGACGATAATCGCTAAATCTGGACTATAAAGCGTAACGCATTATCTTTTGACAATATTTAAATACGAACAATTAAATTCATCCTCCCTACATCGCCCCTAGCGATTATCATCTGTTCTAACATCTGAAATACTCCCTTGCTGACCGGCGATTCCATGATAATGATGAGAGCAAAGTCGTTGTCACATAGTATACATCACATCGCCAGCGGCAATGTTCAATGTCAAAGGGATATAACAATAAATAGATCGACGGCGTTTTACGTCGCAACGTGGGGCAGAGGACACTGAGTCACAGCTTCAGTCTCTTGATGTCCTCCGGCCGTAAGTCTATTCGCAAGGAAGCGATACGCCGCACCTCCGACGGCGTTAATCGCCACGCTATCGCGTCCGCGCCGCAGTAGTCGGCCAGTTCCTCGACCTTCTCTATGCTCAGAATGGTGGCGATCTGCGTTAAACGCGCAAATTTGTCCCTCACCGACCAGGACGTGGCGGCTGCCAGGTAGCTGGCTAACGATCTTATTTCCTTGTCCAGTATCAGACCCCCTGCCTGAAATGCACAGATACATTCGTTAGCTTCAGTTGTATTACACACGAGTAATTAAGACTCACGAGCGCAGATTTATTTGCAGGAAATTGGATGAGACTATTCACCACAGGCTTATCGCTACGAAAAAGGATAAATTTAGTACACAAACCCGATTGAAGGTCGATTTCAAAACTACTTTTTCCAAACGGGCCGTTACTTCCGCAGTTAGAAGTCCGATAAGCGCGTCGTAATTGGAGGTCGTCAAACTATCCTTGAATCCTCGAAGTAGACCCTCCAGATTCGTGATTAGCGTTTGCACAAACGGCTCGTCCGTCTCGTACCGCAGTAACTCGTCCTGTGTGAGAACCGCTCGTTATAGTCATAGACATATGAAATCTACTTATCGCTACGGGATATCTCATTGATACGATGATATACCTCGTTGATATGATGATCTATGGACAGAAACGCATCGACCCACGGAGTGACTCTGGGCTTTACAGCGCTGACGCGCAGCTGTTCCAGGCCGCAATCGATAATGCCACGTAATATCAGTATCACCGCCCTGAGACTGGATAAGCAGCTGTCAATTTTGCCTCTGTCCTTTTTCTGCATGTTGGGGAACGTCGCGTCTATCTCTGCGCCGAGACTTTTGCACAACGTTTCTACATATTCCGTGCTAACGTCGGCGTTATTCAAGTAGGCCTGAACAAATGAACATGAATAATAATTATAGATACACAATAAAGCTGTTATTTTAGTGATTAATAATATATTAATGTATATCGTATAACGTGTGAAACTACATGTAGATTTTAAAAACCGCACCAGGAACATGAGACGGGCGTATTCTGTGTCCGACGTTTGCAGACGACCGTGCTGTATGCTCGTCTGGAGAGCGCTGTACGCCTGTGCGAGATCCAGGTAGCCCGCTGGATAGCCCTGGCGCAATCTGTTTCTCAGTCTGTTGGCAAACTCGCCCTCCAAGATGCCGCAGGCCATATTGACGACAGCACAAACGCCGTCCACGCTCCAGCTCGACATAGCCCGGCTGCAGAGAAGTTTACGTTATAATTTTCAATGATACACATAAAGGACTGACGTAAACCTGGCGAGACGTACCGCACGCATTTCTGCACGATGAAGAATACGTCGTCGACCATGCTGGAAGTCTGCTGATCTGGATCCAGCGCGTCCATTCCTAGAGCCTTGTTCACGCTCTCCTCGAGGAAGTATCTCTCCAACGCAAGATAAGCACCAAGCAGCTCTTGCATGCCGTGCGCCAACTCAGAGTTGTTCACGGTAGTTTCGAATTCGTTGAGCAACTCCGCACGTTGCGCCTCGTCTGTGGTACTGATCTCTATATCATTCTGCGAAACAAACGACGCATAAGCCCGCGCTGCCGAGACAACAAATAGAAAGATTCACGATTAATAAGACTTCACCTTAATCCTCCTCTTTAAGAATCGTATGTAAAGTTCCGCCCTCGAATGCATTATGGTTATTTCGCCCAAGAGAAGATCGAGCTCCTTAGGGTCGAACCTTTCGGGACTCGGCTTTCGCAGATACTCATTTATCATTTGTACATTCTTGGATATACACCTATGTTTCGTGAATACTGCAACAATCTTCTTAACCTGTCTGTTTGTGAAAAGAAAAACACAATTTTCTTAATGCATAAAATATTTCAATTGCGATTAATTCTACGCGCATAGTCTCACCTATCACACTCCTTTTGTAAAATCGAAATTGTCATCAACAGTCGACCGGGGCCGTAATAAGTCTCGATGATTGGCTGATGCACCTCCACAATTCGCGCGATCCCTTCGAACAAGAGGGTCATGGTGTCGGCGAAAATAACAGCTGCTCTCTTGTCGTTACTTTTAATCTCTAACGCCGCTTGTAGATTTTTCTGCGCGGTCTCATGTAGCTAGTATATAAAAAGTGAAAGATCAGATAGCGCCGTCTCTCTAAGCATTCAACAGGGAATTCAACAAATATAATTCAGCATAATTAACATCAGATGTACTTTGGTGCACAGGTAACTGCAGAACTTCTTCAATCCCTCCAAGTGCATCCCCAGCAGCGGGAAGATCTTGAAGAATCTCTCGACGGACGCCAGATCCTCGGATTTCACAGCCTCGTCGAATTTATGCGTGACAACCGCTCTCAACTCCATCGCGGCCTGTTGCAGGGTGACCAGGGAGCTGCTGATGCTAGTGTGATCACCCGACACATCCTCGGCCGTTCTCTCCAGCAACTGCTGGTCCATCGCTAAGTAACGATGCACGTGCGCGGCACCCTGCTCGTAATCCTCGTTGCGCAACGCGGTTGCGACACCTTCGCTGCACAACTGCAAGTCCAGTATATCGTTTATTCTACTCTGGCACTCGCACACTCGGCTCTGCGAAGCAAAATCGTGGGGTTTAAGGCTGGCACTCGTAAGAAAATGGTAATTGTATGACGATATCTAAAGGTGCGTCCAGGGAGCCCGCTTTTGGCGCCTTAAAGCATCTTATGTCTTTGTTCGACATACAGCGAGCAACAAAGACAGACAGATGTTTTCAGCGCTAATAGCACCTCCTCGAATGCAGCCTGAGAATGACGATGTCGACCGTGGTGTAACTTACTCTCGCCAGATCCAATTGCCTCACTTTAGCGCTGACATTCTCGGCTAGCTCGTTGGTACGCGAGATCATGTCGCAGAACTTCTCACCCTCCGCTCGTATCAGCACGACATTCGGCAGCACCTTGCCGATATTCTGCAGTTTCGCCTCCACGTGACATCGTCGGGCGAGGATCGTGTCCAGATTCTTCTTTATAGAAACCTGTCGGGTAAAATGTCCCTTCAGTGAAACGTACAGTAGAATTCCCATGTGAGAAATCGCGAGATGTACAACGCTATTTCTTCGACGGCACGTGCGGTGCGTGACGTTGATTCTAGAGAGAACGTCGGAGAATTTTTTCCGGAGACCGCGAAAGTAAAAAAAATCCTAATCTCGCGGAGATTTGTGGCGCGCGGAAAATGTTCGTTAAACGTTAACGCGATCGTGATCGTGTACGAACCTCGTCTTCGGACAACTTGTCCAATATTTGCTGCAGATTCTCCTCGTTCACCGGCAGGTCCATCGTTACCAGCCGGTCGACAAAACGACGGGACCCAACGGCTTTACTTGACGGTGTTTAGGCACTTGGCATTGGGTCGGTTTTTTTATAGCTGAACTGGCTGCACTAGCTCAGAGTTTATTTTTCTCCTTCGGTAATATTGAAGGAGAGTCTCTCACTCTCCGATTTTGACGAAAATTTTATAAAGAACAGACCAATTTCTCCACACGTCACGCGTATTGTCGCACCCACGTCGTCAACAGCTTTCACGTTTATCTCATTGGCTGCGTTCGGCAGGAAAAGCTGCTTTGCAACTATTGTAAAATTCGTGAATCTGATTGGTGTGTTCTCTCAATCTTGTGTGAATTTAAGAGCATACGCCAATCAGATTCATGAATTTTACAACAGTTGCAAAGCAGCTTTTTCTGCCGAACGTAGCCATTGTAAACAAGAATGAGGATAGACAGGTTGCCAAAGGCCCGGGTGGAATCGAGACCACCACACACTTTATTTGTAGCGGCGGCTTGACCGCAGCCTGACTGTTGCGTCAGACTTTGACTGTACAACTTTGATCTAACGAGAAAGGAGAAAGAGGAAAAACAGAGAAGAAAAATGTACGTTGCAAATCAAAGAGGATCGGATAGAGTGGAAGCTGCCATAAGAGCACAATGTTAAATAGCGTGGCCGAGTTTCAGAGCCATCTACCAGCTCAGAGGCCATCCTAAATCCTCCTACTCTTCAATATATCGAGAAAAAAAATCTTGCTCGCCGGGAATCGAACCCGGCTCGCGCGGATGACGGTCCGACCAAAGAGGATCGGATCAG